GCTGCGGCTCCGCGAGGCCGACGAGGACCCCAGCGTGCCGCCCTACGACTCGGTGCAGGTCTACGGCTACGAGGGCCGGGGCTCGTCCTGTGGCTCCCTCAGCTCCCTTGGCTCCGAGGCCGGCGGTGCCCCTGGCCCCGCAGAGCCGCTGGATGACTGGGGGCCGCTCTTCCACACCCTGGCCGAGCTGTATGGGGCCAAGGAGCCCCCGGCCCCCTAAGAGCGGGGCTGCCCTGCTGGCCATGGTGGGGTAGCCCGCACAGGCCCTCTGAGTGAACCCCTGGGGGTCCAAGCAGGCAGCAGCAGCCCAGGGGCCCCAAGCATTTTCCCCATCCTTGTGTCCCTCCTCCCTGATGCTCCAGGGCAACCCCCTTCTTACCTCCCTCCTCCTGAGTCTTCTGTGTCTCTCTCCAGGGATCTGTCTCTGGGACACTCTGTCTGGGTCTGCCTTGTGTGGCTCTGACTCTAAACCTCTCTATTCTGTCACTGTGATTCCACCTTCTCCTTGACTCTGTTTTTGTCTCTCAGATTCTAAATCACTCACACATGCTCTCTCTATCTCCCTTGCCCCCACACACATGCTCTGTGTCTGTCTCCTGCCCACATCTGCCCCCATTTCTCCGGGTCCCTGTGACTGGATTTTTGTTTTTTTCCGTTGTCCATCCCAAAAGCAAGAGAAACTTCCAGCCACTGCTGCCCACCTTCCTGCAGGGGATGTTCTGCCCCAGGTCAGTGCTCCTAGATTATGTGGGGCACAGGTGGCCCAAAGCCCTCCCACGCTCACTACCTCTAACTGGGCTCTCCTGTCTTTACAGACCTTCCCGCATGATTCCATCCATCACTCATGGCCTCATCCTGGCTCTACTGGCCTCCAGCAGAGAGGGAGCCAGCCCACCTCCCAGGGGAGAGCTCCAGCACCACCACCCCCTCCCACACACTTGGCTGCCTCCCTGGAGCTCTGCCCAGCTGTTGGCATCCCAACTCTAGGCATTGTCTTGTGTGCTTCCCAGGCCCCAGCGGGAGGGGAGGGGAAGGAAAGGGGGAGGCAGCTGGGGAGGGGGAAAGAGGGAGGAACGGGAGGGGCCTCCATCTCTAATTTCATAATAAACAAACACTTTATTTTGTAAAGCTGGAGCCCTGTTCTGTTTTTGCACTCAGGTTTCTGTATGGAGTTTCATTGTGCCAACGGGCAAGAGGAGAGGCCTAAGCCTATTCCCTCTGGTTCATTCTTTCTCCTTTGGGGGGCAGTCCACTTCAAGCCCCTCTATATAGAGGAGGGTTTTGGTTGGTTTCATTCATGGAGTAAGGAAATAATGGCTTGTGTCCCACTCCTACCACCAGCTCTCTGGATTCCCTGTTCTCAAACTGTCCTAGGAAATTAAAATGTGAGGACTGGCCAGAGGGAAGGATGGGAAGAAGTAGAGGGTGAGGGCTACAGAGAAGAGAGGAGGAGAGATGAAAGGCTAAGAAGAAAGGAAGAGGGACTTCATACTTAAGAAAAAATGTGTGTAGGGGGGAAAGCCAGTCTCTCTTGGGGCCTGTGGTGCCCAGTGGGGAAAGGATGGGCCAGTGTGAGATGGCGCAGTCACGCTGAATCTGGGTCTGCTGCCCCAACCTTTAACCCTCCCCAGTCCATTGTCTTATTCTTCATGGAGCACAAAGGAGGAGGGTGAGGGTCAGAGAAGCAGAATCAAAGCCAACTGGGGTGGAAGCTGAAAGGGAACAGCCAGCATCTCTCAATGTCCACTCCCTGAGCAGAGAAGGGATCCCTGCGCAGAGCAGGAGTCAGGATGAGCGCCCAGGCCTCCTAACTCCAGGCAAGGCTTCTGTCGTAGGTGAGTCAGGACAGGTCCTTGGGGCCCTCGCCTCCAGTGTGGGGTGCTGGAAATCGGGAAAGCTGCTTCGAGGGGAAGATGCCTTCTCACGCCTTCTACACCTGTTTGGTTAGGGCAACCAGGTGCTGGGACAAGGACCTTTGCTGCAGTGCTGAAGTTGTCATTTCCTCTGCTGAAGGCTGGAACCAGACCCCTGACTGCCCAAAGGCCTGTGCAATAGCAGGCTGTCTGTCCCCTGAAGGCCTCAGGAGACCGTTAAGAGGGTGTCAGAAGAACAAGGTCTTCCAGTTCAGGGCAGGACAGGCAAAATCTCTACCCCTTTGGTCTCACTCTGATATCTGTATCAAGCCTTCAGAAAAAAGTGGAGAAAAGGAGGGACTGACCATGGGCCACTCCCAGGTGGTGAGGGGCTCACTGACATAGATGCACACCTTTGCCCCCTCTTCCAGCCCTCCCTAATGCCCTCCTATGGTCCTCCCCAACTCATTAAACTTGGGGGGTGGGGAACAGCAGATGGGAAAACAGGCTTATCAACAAGACTCTTGGGCTTATCTCTGGTCTCAAATACCTCATCATCTGGAAGGACAGAACCTGTCAAAGGAGTAAAGAAAGGCAGGACCATGAAAGAAAAGAGAGAAGCGATGGGAAAAGGAGACGTAAGAAGGAGGGCTCCCCTCCTGCTTTGCCCTCTTTGTCTGGGTTCCATCCTTCCTCCCAGTTTATGGGAAGTGGAGGGGCGCAGAACATCCCAGGGGACTGAGCCACATGCAGTTCATATAAAGCCTTTGGCTGGGCTCAGGGGACAATCCCATGCTCCAGACCGCCACTCTATCCCTGCATTTCTCACTCCCAGGGTCTCAGGATCTGGTGGGAGGAATCAGGAGTCATGCACTGGTGGGGTGAGCCCTGACCCCACCTCCTCTCTACTCTGGAGCATTTTCCCAAAAGAAGTGACAAAGGCTGGCTTTCTCGCCAGTAATATCCTGCTCTCCTTATCCAGGTGTTGCTCCTTCTTTTCCAGTCTGTCTCCTGTCTCTGCACACAGGAACCACACATACATCACCTGCCACACTCACGTGCACACACCTATCCTGGATCACTCACACTGGGACATGGCCCACACACATCTCTGTACATGGAGATGCATGCACCCTCTTATGCCTAAGTCCAAATACTCCAATGCTTCTGAAGGACTTGGCCAGCCAGAGTCCCCGACCTCCAGTTATCCTTTCCAGAGCCCTGCCTCTCCTTCCATGAGGCTGAGGAGCAGGTGAGGGGTGAAGAAGGGTTGCTGTGGAGGCCACCAGCCAGATTCTGGACCCTGGCTCAAATGCTAGCCCTCCTATACTGGGCACCTTTCTGCAGCCCCTTTTCCCCATCACAATTTCCTTCCCTCTGCCCCACTGCTTTCCTTCCTGGGGCTCTCTGACCGTTCCTCCCTCCTCCCCAGTCATCCCCCCAAAGGCTAAAGCCTAGAGGTCTCCTCTTTCTGGCCGGCTCCTGCCTGGAGGAACCCTTAGCCTGAGGTGCAGGGTTGGAATCAGGGATGGGCTGGGGACTAGGAGGAGTGCCAGGAGGGGGAAAAGGTGGCTGTTATCTTTAGAATGCAAGCTGTAGGAGTGGAATAAGAGAAAGAAGGTTCAGCATCCTTCCTTCAGGTCCCATCTCTTGATGACCATGCTTTTCCCCCCACTTGGCCTGGGGAGGGAGGGCACTGGGAGGTGTCCCTCCTGGAGTGATCAGCCTGCATCTCCAAGTCAGGGCTTACAGGGAGCAGGAAGGGGGCCAGCAGGGGCTGGAGAAGCTGGGCTGACAGTCCCACAGGCACAGCCACCTCTCTCTTTTCTGCATTCCCCAGAGGGAGCTACAGGAAGGAGACGCTGGAAAGAGGGCAAAAGGAAGAAAGGGGGGTAGGGGCAGAAAGGAGAATAAGTCTGGCAGCAGCAACAACACCTGAAAAGGCAGCACGCAGGTGAGCTGTGGTGATGGTTCCGGGCCCTGGCAGGTAGGGCACATGGGGTTCAGTGGGAGCAGCCTCCCTGGGCTCACCCTTCCAGGCCCTCAGGATCCTCTGGGTTAGGTCATCCCTGGCCACCAGGCATGGTCTTAGCCCAGCTACTCTCCCCCACCTCCCTCCCCAGGTGTCTGCAGGGCTCTATCCTGGTGGCAGGGAGGAAAGTCCGGGAGAGGACCTGGGGGGAGAAGCTGTGCTAAAGGAGCACTGCTCTGGAGCAAAGTTCCAGGCCCAAGTCTCACCTGTGCCACTTACTGTGTTACCTCAGGCAAGGTCTCCTCTTCTGTAAAGTGAGGATAATTTTTCCTCAGAGAGTTACCATGAGAACTGCACTCAGGAAAGGAGTAATCATTATAGTCATTAGAATGAAATGGGGGGGGGCAGAGGAGAGCAGATGAGAAGCCCATCACCGTCCACCAGGGCCCACAATGCACTGCCCTGCTCTCCAGCCTGGGCCCTTTGGGCTCCTCCCTACCTCATTCCCCTCCTGACAGACTCTGACGCTGAGATGAGGGCTGAAACAGGAGGAAAAGCAAGACTGGGGCGAGGGTGGAAAAGGCAGGAGAGAGGGTGGCAAGAAAAGAGGGTCTAGCACCTAGCACGCGTCTGGCACACAGCAGGCGCGCAGTGAGGATTTGCTGGAAGAAGGACTTGGCGCTGAGCAGGCTGGACAAATCTATTGGGTGTCGATAGGAACACGCTGGGCAGAACCATCAGTAGCTCTGGGAAGCAGCAAGAGAGGGAGACTTGGAACAAGTGAAACCGGCCACCCATAAGGGCTGGAGCCAGGGGCTGTGAGAATGCTCACACCCATCCTTCACCCGCTCCCTGCACTGGGTACCCCCAAGTCCTGCCGCTTCTTACAGAGTCTCAGTCTCTGCAGGGAGCCCGGAGTCTCCTGGTGCGAGTCCCGCAGAGAGCTGTCCCCCATCACCAGCTCTGGGGGGGGGTGCAGGTTCAGGATGGGCCTGGCCGGCTGCCTTCTCCTCTTGCTTCTCAGGCTCCGGGAGTCTCTGCAGCTCCGAGTACAGCACCCAGGCATCATTGCGTGACACATACTCCCACCCAGTCTCTCGCACGTGAAAAAGGTCGACAGAACCCCCAGAGTAGGCGTCGCGGTGGGTGGCGTGGGCCACGGCGCAGCGAGCCAGGGCGTAGGCTTCCTGAGTGGTCATGTCGTAGCGGTAGCCACGGTCTAGCACGCCATAGGCATAGGGAGACCCAGAACCCACCGAAAAGATGTCCCCCTGCAGGCGGGTGCCGTCACTGTAGACGTAGAAGAGGGCAGGCCCGGAGCGGTCCCAGCCACAGAGAGCAGTGGCCACACACAGATCCAGTCCCCGGTATCGGGACATCATGGTTGACAAGAGTTTGGCGGCACCCGCCACACTGGGCAGCTGGCCCTCCCTCAGTGCCCGCAGGCGCAGCTCCCTCTGTAGCACCCGGTACCACGTGACACAGTCAGCGGAGGTGCCAGAGGTGGTGCCCAGGAGGTGCTGGTGAACAGGGATGACCTTGAGTGAGGCTGGACATGCCACGTAGTTGCTGCAGGAGGAACGGGTGTCGGCTGCGGCAATGACTCCATGACGGAAGCGGAAGGCCAGGGTGGTGGTGCCGTGGGCCAGCCTGGGGCCGTGGGTCCGCAAGAAGCTTTGAGGGTCACAGCCCCGGGGCACAACCCAGCCGCCAGCCAGAGACAGGCGAGGTGATAGTCCCTGGACTTCGGGAGCCTGCCACTTGCACACATCCTGCAGAGCCATCCCTGGGGCCGAGTGAAGGCTGGAAGGAGCAGGACAGGGATTTGTGTGTGTGTCAGGTAGGGGGAGAGGGACGCTAAGGAAAAGCTGGGCCGCAGCCAGAACTGGCAAGGAAGGCGTGTGATTTGTGGCTTCACTTCTCCCTAACCCCAAATTCGGCCTGGGGACCAGCTGTTGGAGCAGCCCCCTCCTCCTCAGAGGGGCGCCGAGGGGACACAGGACGAGGCCAGTGGAGTCTCCAGCGCTGGGAAGACGCTGCCTCTGACACACTGTAGCTTCACCCAAGGCGTCTCCTGTCTGTCATCCTCCAAGCACCTGGAGCAAGGTAGGGTTGGGGTAGCTGCCAAGGAAAGGAGGGGTGAATGAAAGGAACAGAGTGGGTTCCTCGTTTCTCCTGTCCCTGCCCTGAAAGACCTCCCAGCCGAGGAGGAGGAGTGACCACGGCAGTCCTCTGAAGTGGCCAGCATAGGTGCTGTGGCCCCGCCGAGAGTTCTGAATATGGGGCTCTCTCCTCAGAGGTATGGGGCCAGGGAACTGTGATGTTCTCTCAGCTCACACTTTCACCTCATGGTCAAGGTGGGAAAAGAGAAATGGACTGAGGCAAGGACAAAAGAGAAAAGAGCAAGAGAGCCTAGGTGTGGGGGAGTGGGGGAAACTCAAATACCTTTTGGAAAGTCAAGGTACTGAGGGGCCAGGGGTCAGGGAAACTTTAGCCTGGAGCTCTCTTTCTCCTCTGTTTTGGGGGTGAATATGAACTTCCATCTGCATACAAAGACGACATTCCTGACAGTTCTCCAGCAGTGTAGCTTCTCTGACTTGTGTTATAGTTCTGAGTACATAGCTGAAAAAAATATAATGGTTCCCCTTCTGCCCAGTTCACAATGGCAAGAGACTGGTTCATAGTTCTAAGGCAGGAGAAACATCTGACTTCGACCCCATAATGTTTGAATCTAAGTCTTAGGCCAATCAGGGGTGGTGGAAGAATGAAGTCGGTGGACCCTGACAGTTGGCCTTCGGAAAGACAAAGTAGACTAGAGCAGAGTAAAAAGCTGCAGCTACTTCTAGCACCAACCACATGGAGTATATTTTACTAAACATTACAGCTTAAAGGGGTGCTGTGGGAATGGGTTTATTCAAAGAAACAGACCCATATACAAAGGAAAGGGCCTGGACCCTCCAGAGATCATAATGGTAGGGCTGTGGCATCACTGTTACCTGGAGTCCCAGCACAAAGACAAGTGTATGCATCTCATGGGAAGACTGGAGAAACCAGGTCACGCTAAGGTTCAACCAGTCCTTCTCCCTTCTTTTGTGTAGGACCACATGGAAATCTTACTAAAGAGATATGAATGTCTCCTCTTCTGGGCTCAAGTCCTTCTGATCAAGGCCCCCACCCTCAAAAAAAGAATGTCTCCTCTTTCTAAAGGCTAAGTAAGTCTTAGACTCTTTATATATGGATGGATCACCACCTCCCTAGGTCAGGCGACTATCAAGTCAGATCTGGACAGTTGAATGGCCTCATAATTGGCCACCCTCCATTCTCCTCCTCTAATCTTATGTTCCATACTGACATCTTTTTCTAAGGTACCACTCAAATCCTGTGTCTCTTCTACTATTAAAACTTGAAGGGCTACAAGATCAAAACCAAACTACCTCTCCACTCTTGGCTGACATTTAAGGCTCACTATGGTCCAATCCTAATCCATCCACCACAACCTCTTTTCACACTATCTCCCATCTCCCCTTCATCTATTTGAATCCTATCCTTCAAATTCTGGCTTAGGTACCACCTATTCTGAAAATTCTAACCCGATATGGTTTGAGAGAAAAGAGCATGTGGGTTTGAGGAGCAATGGGACCCTGTTGGTACTTAGGGAAATAAATCAAGGCCTCCTTGGCAAAACCTTCCTGGACCCCTAACCTCACCCCAGTCTATACTGACCTCCTGTCCCACCTATGAACTTACAGCATTTATCATTTTCCTCTCCCCACCACTTTATTGAGATATAATTAACATATAACATTGTGTAAGTTTAAGGTGTACAATATGATGATTTAATACCTGTATATTGCAAAATGTTTACCACAATAAGGTTAGTTTACATATTCTTCACTGCACATAATTACCACTTTTGTTATTGTTGTTATGGTGAGAATATTTTAAAATTTACCCTTTGCAAGTTTCAAATATACAATGTAGTATTGTTAACTACAGTCATTGTGCTGTACATTAAATCCCCAGAACTTGCCCTGGCCAGTGTGGCTCAGTTGGTTGAGCATCACCCCTTGCACCAAAAGGCTGCCGGTTCAATTCCTGGTCAGGGCACATGCCTGAGTTGCGGGCTTAATCAGTGTTTTGTTCCTACATCAATGATTTTCTCTCTCTCTTCCTCTCCCTTCCTCTTTCTCTAAAAAATCATTAAAAATACATTTTTTAAAAAATCCCCAGAACTTATTCCTCTTATAACTGGATATTATCCCTTTGAGCAATATCTCCCCATTTCCCTAACCCCTGCCCCTGTTAGGAAAACTTTATTTTGTTTTTAGTCTGACTTATTTCATTTAGTATAATGCTCTCAAGGTTCATTCATGTTGTCACAAATGGCAAAGTTTCCTTCTTTTTTATGGCTGAATAATATTCACGCATATAGTTTTTCCAGGTCTTAGCTATTGTGAATAATGCTGCAATGAACACTGGGGTGCAGATATCTCTACAATATCATTTCCCTCAGATAAATACCCAAATGTGGGATTGCTGGATCATATGTTCTACTTTTAATTTTTCTTTAAACCTCCACACTGTTTTCCATAGCGGCTGTTTCAATTTACATTCCCACCAACAGCAGCTCTTATCATTTGTACCTCCTCTTTTGTGGTCCCCATGAGTAGGGACTGTGGAGCAGAGAACTAATGTAAGGTAAATTGGCAACCCATCATGGAAGTCCTTGAATGCCATGCTGAGGAGCTGAATTGCACAGTACATTTTTAAGCAGACAAGCAATAAAATCAAAATGGTGTTTTATGAAAAGCTATTTGGTGTTGTGCAGAATGAATTAGAGAGTATAGTTTTGGCCCAGTAAATCAGTTAGGAGAACATTTCACTAATTGAGGAGTGAGAAGATAAGTCAGTCGTAGTATCAGCTACAACGAAAAGAAGGTGGGAAGCACTGTAGAGGAAGAATCAACAGGACTTGGCAACTTACTGGATGCGGAGGAAAGGAAGGGGAGTTGTCAAAGCTGAGCCAGGACTTCAAGCCTCCGTGACTGGAAGCACGTTGCTGTTGTGCTTTCATGTATTCATTTGGCAAACATGTATTAAGCACACATTGGGCACAGAGGTGAGTAATAGAGAAATACCTGTCTTTAAAAGCTCACAATCCAGTAGGAGATAAATGTACAGTTATAACTAGGTAAAATGTAAAAGTGCCTTAAGAGAGGTACAAATGCTATTAGTGGCAGAGTAAAAGAACCATTGAGAAAAGTCAGAAGGAGGACTAGTTGCATTCCCGAGGTGACTGCAAAATAATACCTGCTCAATACCATCCAAGTGTGAGACAGATAAGGATCTTCTGCTTCATTACATTCTGATGGTTGGGCTTGGAAAGGGTTGCCAAATTTCAGCATTAAAAATATAACACATGCTGAATCTGCTGGGGCAGAGAAGGGGGCTGAGTTGGGCATCAGAGGAAAGTGGAATTTAGATATTAATGGATGTTGCTACTGGAATCCAACAAGGAAGGCCAGACATATAGCAGGTGGCAACATTTCATACCTTTGCGCACTTCCTTGCTTGTTAGGTTCCCAAAAGGTTAGAAAACTGAAGGTGGGTGGAGAGAGGAAGAGACAATGAAATACAGTGCACTCCTGAATAAAGAGCTTGTCTTAGCAAGCTTAAGTTAGAGAGCCTCTTGATACATCTTTTACATATATATATATACACACACACACACACACATATATATATATATGTCTTCTTTTCTCTTGGGAATGGAGCCCCAACTCTACTCTAGCCTCTGAAACTGTAAATGACTCAGTTATTCAGGAGATGAGCTGAAAATCTAGTTTGTGAATTAACTAGGCGCTTTGCTTTTCCTCCTTTATTCTTCTATCTGCCTTTTGGGCACTTCATTACTTATTAGAATTGCCACCAGAGGGTGGGAGTAAAGAAAATATTGAATCTTTAAAACTGGTTACTGCCAGAGAACGTGGGTAGTGTGCTGATTACCGCTATCAAACAACAGGTATAGATATAACTTTTATTTTGTTGCGCTTTTACCACAAGCAAATGTGGCTTAACTAACTTCATAGGAAAATGACCTCAATGTAGATTATTATTTTATCCGGTAAAACAAAATGGCAATTCAGTCCCCTTGGCAGGCTGCTGAAGCAGTAGATGTAAAGTGTTGCTTGGACACCTGGCTGGGCGGGGACAAGGTTTCAGAGCGGATCTTCAACCAGTCACGCCCTTCTCAAAGATGGCCGGCCTCACGTCCCTCACTCAACGTGGACGTTTCCCGTCGCTTCCTAGGCATTTGAGGTTACTCTAATCCAATACTACTGTTTGCATGACGAAACCTAATGTGGCAGACATATCCCTGTAGAATTCAAGGGTATTGAAGCCATTTATTTTTCCGCTCCGTGAAAATGGTCCCTTGCGTCTGGCTCTTGTTTTTGGAGGCGTGGTTGCCAGGAGTTAAAATGGCTCCTCCCTGAGATTTAATAGGAAGTGAAGCTGTGACGGCAAGGCGTTGCCCCGCCGTTATCTGCTAGGCGTTCTCAGAGGCGGTTCCTTCTGCCCTTACTAGACATGGCGCTGGCCAGTGTGTTGGAGTGCTCGCTACCGGTGAACCGCCACGGGTTTTTCGGCCTCGGAGGTCGTGCAGATCTGTTGGACCTGGGTCCAGGTAGCTCCAGTGATGGGCTGAGCCTGGCCGCGCCCAGCTGGGGTGCCCCAGAGGAGCCGAGAATCGAAATACTTCATGGAACCACCACCCTGGCCTTCA